ACTCTCGTGCACGGTTACACCGCGCTTCGGAACGCCACTGATCGGAACAGGGTCGAAAAACCACCGGTCAGGTTCCATGTCAGTTTGCGGGAGGGTACTTGCTGATTTGCGTTGATCTCCTTTTCGTGCGAAGGGCCAGGGGTCCTGTGACACTTGAGCTCGCTGCACCGTGTGCAGCAACAAGGTCTTAGACCCTTGGGATAAAACACTGGCCCTGGCAATTCTCCCGCCATACTCCGCCATATCCGCCAAGCGGAACCCATGTACACCGCCGGTGAACAGTCTTCCTGCCACACACCACCACACACACACACACACCCAGAGCGTCTCGTCTTTCATCTCCACACGCAGCCCTGGCTCATCTCAGCCCCCTCCAAAAGTATCGGGCAGAACCCCACGCACATCGCCTCACTTCGAGCAGAGGTGGTTCTGAACCCGACTCTTCGACTATCCCAGGAACCGGTACCCCAGGTGTTCCGGGTCCGGACACGGTCACTGGAGACCTCCACGACTCGGCCAGGGCTCCGCGGCCGCCTCCTGGGCCGCCACCGTCTGGGCCGGGGCGCCAGGGACGAACGCACCGGTGCGGACGAGCGGGTGGGAGGCGGAGAGGCAGCGGGAACTGGACTTTAAAAAAAGCGCGAAGATCTGGGAGGTCGCCATGTGACAGACAAGGTGGTTCATGACCCAGACACTCCACGTATGCCATATAGATCATAGATTATATTAGAATTAGTATATCCCCCTGAATCTGCCCCTGGCCTTTTCTCCACAAATATGACACTCCCATGGAGTCCATGGAGAAATTTTCCAATCCGACACCCAAAGGGTTTCACCGAGGGAAGTGGATCTCGTGAAGTTGGAGATCCTTTGATGCAAAGCCTCTCTTTGTCCTTCCGGACGGCCTGGCTCGCCTTGTCCTCTAGGGATCCCTTGGTGCAAGCCACCACCGCGCCCAAAGTGGCTGAAGGCACCCGCGAGAGGGAGAGGGAGCAGGGCAGCGCGAGAACCGAAGCGAGCGGACGAAGGAGACGGGGGAAGATAGATGGTTTGAGTTGGGATTTGGTGTCATGACATGTCGAAATGGGAGAATTCTAACCTTCGCTGCTGTTCACTTCTGGAAGGGTTTGTCCCTTTGCAATTCAGCTGCTGTTCTCAGTGAACCCTTGAGCCGGATCAGTAATTCCGTACATGCCCATGCGAAGCATCGTCAAAGATATTTGCAGACACCTTTAGGTGCCAAACTTTTTTCAACTGGTCGAGGAGCACACAAACTGCTTGTGCTCCAGTGTGGTGTGGCATCCAACCTCATCTCCAGTGTTTTGAACCGATATACAGTAGCCAAGAGCCAGGACTGTTCAGAAGCTCACCGAACAGGTCGGAGCTATTTAACATTATAACTACCAGGACCCACTGTCGGGGTAGTTAATGGACACCCCGAATCACCTCTAAGGTGTCCTGGTATAGTTTTCATATATATGCGTATTCTCTAATTGTCTATACAAGGTGCTGGCCAGGCTGTTTCAAGTGCAATAGCAACGTAACACGTCGACATGTCAATGGTTGTTTGGGCTGTGCCGCTGATGCTGATCTGGTTTGGTGAAGTACTTACCTATAGGTAGTAGTGAACAGAGGAAACCCGCGGGAATATCTCTTGCCAGGCTTGATTCCGTGAGGTTGAGATGCCAGCCATGAAAGCGAGATGACGGGGATGGATGTATCATCAACTCCCATCTGCTCCAGTCGAAACAAAGAATTTCCTGTTTCCCCAGCTCATGACCAAGTTGAATCACCTTTGTTGCTAAGAACATGAGCAAATCAGCTCGATCGGTGAATCTCCGATCTGATCAATCGCCGAATTGGGTTGTTCTCGGTCGAGGGGGACTTTCCCACGTGCCAGGTGTGGGCAGCAGGACAGGGTGTTCCCCATGAGCACGCTTGGAACAGCAAACCTTTTGAATCTGCCTCGACCAATTCTGAAAGTTGACAGATGCCACTGCAAAAGGCAGTTGTTGTAACAGGACTTAGTCCAACTTGTCGGTTAGGAGCCTTCTGAGATCTAGCAGTCTGATTCGGAGCGTGCCCGCACAAATCCACACATCTCGTCCAACACACGGTTGCCAGTGAGGTCGTCGTAGAGTTGAGCTTCTTTGAAGTGCGGACAAAGAAGAAAGAAGAAGACCACTGGACTTGGCAACTCAACTCCTTGGCATGCATACGTCCGACTTTCAAAATTCATCAGTGCAATGGAATTTGAAGATCTTGGGGATGGTTGATGGTTCTTTTCCTTGGTTCTGGGCCACGACCTGAAGCAACTTGAATATGTAAACTCCAAGCCCTTCATTCTGTGATTTTGTCAGTGGCAGCAGTTTCTACACACGACGAGTTCTATGTGCGAAAGTCTACATTTTGGTGCTCTGTGGTATCCGTGAGCAGGAGTCAACCTCACGAGTATGATGGAGGGGAACCTCCGTTGGGGGATCCCAGGGCGAGTGCCGCCTAAAAGCGGCGGGGCCGTTGTGGTATCCGTGACGGGGGTGGTGCACGGACGGTTGGCGTCGAAGACTGATGGAAAGGGACAAGGACATTGCATCGGCAAAAAATATCATCAATACCAGGACACCCGGACCAGGGGTGTCGAACTTGATAGCCCCGAAAAGAGGTGATTCAGGGTGTCCATTAACCCCGACTGCGGGTCCTGGAATACATGGCTTTATTTTGCCTCGTATATGCGCCTCGGAATGCGCTGGATCTGGGGATGCCCAATGAAAGAAGCGGAAGTTTAGGGGGTCCACATAGTCTGTCCATGCACTTATAACTTGTAACCATTGGCTCAGAACTCGGACTGAGGCCCCCGCCACCGCCGCTGGCGCCCCCGCTGGGGCCTCCGCCGGGGCCACCACCAGCGAAGGTCCCACCGGTGGCACCACCATCGGTGGCAAAGCCGCCGGTGGCGCAGCAGCCGGGTGCGCTGCCGCCGGGGCCTCTGCCGCCGGGGGCGCTGCCGCCGGGGCCGCTGCCACCGCTGGGGCCGCCGCCGCTGCCGCCACCACCACTGGAGGTGCAACACTGCAGCATGAAGAAGGTTGAAGTCCCTGGTTTGGAGGGGACATGCCGAGAAATAAATAGGTGATCGGGGTCCCCGGCATCCCGGCGTCCTGTTTCGGGGGTGTGGCTTGAACTTGCCATCACTGTGACGGTTCGGGTTGATTGGAACTTGAAAAAGGGCAGCACAAATGTGTTATTAAATTGATTAATTCGTTAGTGAGTGTTCGTACAGTGGTTGCAGGTCTTGGTAGTTCAATTTAAATTTTGAAACAGGAGTTTGACAGACTGGGTGACTGGGTCGTTTCTTATTTTGGGACTTTTCTGTGGCAAGAGTGTGGGTTGTCATAGGCCACGGGATGCCAGACCCACACGGACTGCAGGACTATGCTGTGATGACGACGACCGTGGGGAATCCCGGCTCGCGTGGCACTGGCCGGCGTGGCACTGGCGCGGGGCGCAGTGTTCCTGAGAAAAACCTGCCAGGCTCTGGAGGGAGTGGTTCCAAAAGAAGCCCAAATGGCCTTGGGCCTCACGGTCGACCACTCACTCCCGCCCCGATCCTTCCGAACCTGGTCGGGGTCTGACCCGCGTGGGGAATTCTCGCAGGCGAGCAAAAACGCTCCGCCCTCGCCGCCGTCCTCCTTGAGACGTTCCACTTCAGTCTCGCTCAGGCGGGGGTGAACGAACTCCACCGAAGGAGTGAACCCGCGTGAACTCGCTGGGCGGGCCCGGGCGGGCCGCGTCAAGCTCAGAGCTTGGTCGGTGGTGGTGGTGGTGGTGGCCCTTCGGTGAACTCCAGGGAACGTATGAGGTTTTGGCCTTGAAAGTGACCTCGAAACTGGGAGGGTTGGGTAGTAGAGTTGTCGTTTGCTTCTGAAGACCTGATCATAGCGATTTGGGGAGGTTGGGGGCAATCAGGTGCAGAGTTCGATCATGCGTTGAAGAGCCAAAAGGCTAATGTCCAGTCCCAGTGATACTCTTCGTTGGAGAGAAAGAAACGAGAACCCGTTGAAGCTGCTTCCCATGTTGGAACGTGTTGTGCATCGTAGTGCTCCCACAACTTTGGACTCAAATCAGACGGGGACAAAAAGACCTGGTGAAGCAACAGGACTGGCAACCACCACACCTGTTGGGCAAGATGGAAGCACCATACCCGTGGAACTGGATAACAGGACTGGGGCAACCACCAGACCTGTTGCAACCAGCCAATCGAACGTTGGTTAATGTTGGTTACATCATTCTTCACTCCCTGAAACCTTGGGGCTCCAAATAGGGCTATTCTTTGAGCGAACCCGACTGAGTAAAAAAAGTCGCTCAACAGGTTGGAAGGTCAGGGCCTCTCTTTGTGGCAGGTGACCAGGTGAGCTAGGATTTGTGACCTCAAGGCTTGACCTCAGCCATCTCAGAGAGTTACTGGGAAGGTCTTAGTCATAGTCGTGAGATTGCCCCAGGCGTCGCCGTGTGGTGGGACACACTGAGGCGCGTTTGGCACGGGGCGGTTTTGGGTGGATGTGGTCGGTTGGGGTGGGTATCCGTTGTCCATGCTGGGGTGGGCGGCTCAGCTTGTCAGCCGTTGGTGGCCCAAATCTGGTCTCTTTGAATAGACCAAAGCTGAGAAGTAGAGCAGGTCGAACATGGACCCCAGACGTCCAAAGACTATATTTTGACCGACTGAAAGGGCATTCTCAGGGTGGATGGTTTGTACAGCAGAGGTGGCCCCATGATTAGCTGGAGATCGTTGCCCTGAATCACTTCAGTCGACTTGTCCACTTGATGGTGAGCATACAGCGGTAGACTAGTCGGTAGACTAGTCGGTAGACTAGTCGGTAGACTATATATTCATCATATATATATATATATTCTGTTTATTCATTCAGATGTTTGGTCGAGCCTAAGCCTATGTTGACATACCAGCCAATGGTTTGATCCGGTTTCAATTTCCGTGGCCTCGCAGCCGTGTGGATCACGCGAAAGCCGCCCCCGCTTGTAGCGTAGCTGCGGTACCAAAAAGCCTCGCGTGGTTCCTGTCGCACGGTCCTCACCTTTTGGCCGAATGGAGCAAAGCCTGGTGGCCATTTTGGCCACTGGGCATTGGATTGAAGTCCCAGTGGCACAAATTGGGTGGTTGGAGAAGGGTTATGTCGTGAGTATCCATGAGATTCCATGAGTATATGTTTATAACAATTATTTGCATGCATACACATATATATTATACCAAATTGGTTTGGGTTTAGGCACAACGGCAGCTTTGCAACTCCGTGTTCTTGTTTCTTTGAGGTCTAGTGTGGCTGGTGAGGACCCCAAAAGCCAAACACAACGCTTGTTTTTCATGTGTAGCTTTGGAGGTTGGCCAGAGTGGCAAGTTCACATCTAAGCCACTCCACAGGCTCGGCACATCTCCATCATTCCTCGCGCCTTACAAGCCACTTGCGCGAGGGATGTGTAACCGAACGCCATTTGCACCAGCTGATGTCAGGTGCAAAGAGGTGCTTTCAGGCACCCATCCATTGGGGACATCATCCAATCCCACCCACCACTCTTCTGGGTCCCGTTTCTTCGTGCCACGTCGAGACTTCGGCAGATGAGAAATAGCATCGAGACGGGCGCGTCGATCGGTTCGTGGTCACGTCTGGATCGGACTTCGGACGTCATGGACCTGGATCAGCATGGACCGGTCGACCAGCGACCCACGATCAGAGTCTGATTCGCCGTACAGAGTCCAGGAACATGACGAAAATGAACTAACTCGAACTGGTAGTGTGGTGGATGGACTGACTACCAGGTGGAGTAGTTCATGAGTCATATTGAGTCATTGGAAGTTCCGGCTTCATTCGGATTCGACAAACCAGGGTCGGCAACATCAACTTTGGGATGAGGGATTCGCGGTAGAAATCGCCCGGGCTCGGAGGTCGGATCGGTAGAAATCGCGGACAACGCTGGTGTGGAATGTTCGGCAGATTTCAACGCTGGGGGGTGCCTTTAATCGAATTGGTCGGTCTATTTTGGTTCCCCTCCGCGGCTGGAGCGGACGTAGGGCGGCCCTGGAGTGATGTTTATAGCATGACCACCCCCCAGAAGCCTAGAAGTAGGAAAAACACACAGGAAACCACGCTCAACCAGTCGAACTTGTGTGGGTCTGGTGTCTTTTGGGAGAAACCTTTTCTCTTGCAATCATCTACTTTCGTGATGGTTTTTTGGAATTCGATCTGGATGGTTGGCAGGGATGTTTTGTGGACAGTCCTGCCTTTGGAAGCGATGAGACTCAGCACACTTCCCGTCACTTCCACCGACGCCTTCGCCAGCACGATCAGACTCCGAAAATGCCCTGCACTCTTTTGCAGAGAAAGCTCGACACTTTTGGACCTCGCCTCACGGCACTCACTCTCTCCAGCGTTCTCCACGGTGTCCCCATCGCGTTGTTTCGGACGCGACGCGTGGTTTCGACGCATCGAAGACGTGCTGCCCAGACCTCCTTGGAGCTCCAAGTCTTTCAGCCAAGCCTGGAGCGTTTGGGCGTGGCGAGCTGTGAGGATATCGCCGTTTTGCAGGACGGTGACTTGCTCCAGGCCATCACGGAAAGCCCGGGAGGAGAGGAGAGGAGAGGAGAGGAGAGGAGAGGAGAGGAGAGGAGAGGCGGTGACGGGCCCCAGGGTTTCCAACCGGACCGGGGACGCAAGGCGTCGAGGGAGAACAAAGATGAAAAAAGGAGGACCATGAAATCAGCCATGCAGGACCTTTCCAGGTCCTGTTTTCATTTTGTTGTTTTTCCCCTCTTAAAGGTCCCAGAAAGAGACTCATTTAGTTCGCGAAAAGGTCACCGAAACATGATCCTTTCAAGTTCGAACATCGAGTCAAAGGACGTCGCTCCAGTGGGGTCCTTCGAAGTGAAATTTTGGTGCGCGAAGGAGTCGCTCCAGTTCCTCATGAGGAGAGGGATCTTTTCGAACAAGAACAGCGAACAGCGAACGGCTGGGTGGGGAGAGAGTCTTTTCGGGCCTGGTTCACCTGGTTCCTCAAAGATCACCCCCCCCCCAGCCGGAGCACTGACCCCCATTTCTCCAAATCCCACGACCCGTCTGGGACTGCCAGTCCGAACTGCCGAGAAACGGCCGGTGCCAAGGGGGTCTGGCTTGATCGGCATATATAGGCAAGCCCCAGTGGATCCGGAGTGTCTGGGAATGGTTTTGGACTCACTGTGGACAAATCCCGTGGTCCAGGCTGGCTTGAGCTTGGTGCAGACCCGGAAGCTTCAGAAGCGGGCGAAGGACCAGCAGTTCTGCGAACTGGGCGTCGGAGGTTCAAGGGTCCTTTCATATCTACTTCTCTGCAAATTTACTTGCATTTGTGTTTGGTTTTGGGATTCTTTTGGATGGTCTTGTTTGTACGTACGTACTTCCAAACCAATAACTTGTACGGGGAGTTTGTCTATCTCGCCCGCTCAAATCACCATCTCAGCTCTGTTCTGCTGTTGGATCACCGAAGTAAAGCTTCATGAACCCGGTGCTGCAGGGGGCTTCTTCGTGAATGAACGCTCTACTCACTTGGTCCGGAGATGGATCGAAGTGTCCCAAGCACTTGGCCCACCAAAAAACATACAGAACTCCCGCCTATAGACCCTAAGGGGGCCGGTCAATAGACACCCCGTATACCATTTACACGATTTACAGTACTATAATCGGTATATACGGGGCGAGGTGCCATTTATGCTGGCCCCAGTACTCCCTATAAGGGGTTTCTATTGGTGGCGCACATGATCGCCTCATGAGGTGCTGCAGAAATGTCCATTCACCTGAGGCCCGGCCCCCCCGTGGGTCGCACGGCCGAGGCGGTCGAGGAGGTTCTGCTCCCGGATTGGAAGGTTCTGGTGGACTCCTTTTCTGTTTGAAACCTCCGGACCACCCGGGTGCGGGTCTTGGTCAACGCTTCGGTTCCAACCGGAACACCACACGGAACGGTGCTGGGCGCTCAGGAGACGGTGCCCAGCTCCGAGCCGGATGGGCAGGCGGACAGAACGGGACGTGAGACATTGCGACCTTGCGTCCCAGTAGTATAGGCCAGGAGCCCCGTTCGTAGCGTCATTGCTCCCAGTAGCGATGCCCTTTGCTGGGCGCTTAGTAGCGTACTTGTTTCAGAAAAGTGCACCCTAAGCCTTCAAAGACAACTTTTATAAGACATTGAATTGTTTACATGTGTCGTGTAATGTCATGTACCACCAGTCACAAAGGGGTGCCAATTGGAGGATAGGGGTGCCCATTATCCACTCACTTAGGGACTAAAAACCACCCCTTTGTGACTCCTGGTAGGGTCCTGAGTAAAACAATGCATGGGTGTTCGGGTAAAGGCTATTGAACCAACGGTGGTTGACCAAAATTATTCAACATGCGATTTGGGCCCTCAAAATGAAACTGCCACGGTTTCGCAGAAGAGATGTCCGTCTTGCTGTTAACCTTCCTGTTTTTCGCGCATGAAGGCTGTCAATTTGAGGCACCGGCTGCTCTGAACACCATGTCAGACGGTCGACCAGTCGACCGTCCGACCCCGAGGGGTCGACCATCCGGCCGTCGGGCCGCGTCAGCCACCCGAGTCGGGGCTCCTGTCGGTCGGCGTGAGGGGATGTGGTGTCCGCCAGAAACGCGCTGCGCCCGCCTCCGTGTCGGCCGGGGTTACGGCCATCCGACCGGTGCCTGAAAACCGTCCGGATCTTTGGAACAGATGGTACGGCCGGGATGGCCCGCCCCTGAGCATGATTGGTACGGCCGTGACGTTCGGGGCACCCTATCCTTGACTCTTGGAGGTATTATGTTTTTGACCCCCACCTGGTGGGCCCGAACCACTCCCCCTGCTGCCTTACATTCCAGAGGGCCTTACATTGGCGATGGAGTTTGCCATCACTGGCACTCAGGAGGTTTCGCTGGCACTCCTTGTGTCCTGGTGGGCGAAGGGACGTATTGCTTCATCGGTCACTCAGGTGGACGAGCCAAGCCGCAAGCGGCGTTCCCCCCACGAGGCGCGAGGGAGCGTGAAGAGGTTTTACCAACCAACTGGGTAAAGTGTCCTGAATCAACCTGTGAAGCTTGCTTGGTTATAAGCGCCATACGGCCTTTTCATGTGCTAAGCTGAAGGAATCGAGTCTGGGTCCAGGGTCGCGTTTGGGTTGGAGGTACTTTCTACGATTGGCCTTTGAACTTTGTCCCCCACGCCGTCTAGAGTCTGGACGCCTGAGGGAACAGTTCCATACTGCAAGCGCATGAACAAGTGTCATTACTGCAGCACACCGTGGCAGGACGTCCAGTTGTATCATGCTAGGTCTTTGACACCCTTTCTTTCAGATGGCAAGCCAGATGGGCTGCTTCTGAAGTCGTCAGGCCAACTCTAAGGGTCTCTAACCCTTTTCTGTCTCACGGCTGAACCTCGAACTGCTTTACAGAATAGATCGGCCTATAGGGTGTTTCTCGCCACGGTGTCCTGTCGAAACTGATCCCTTTGACCTATTAAACCTCAACGTCACCGTCTTCCCGAGCTCTGACGGCCGTCGTCCTCGTCCAAGGAGACCACTGAGCCGACGGCCTCGAGGGCACGCTGCGGGAGCTTCAGGTGCGGGCATTGCGAAGGTCTGGGATGGGACAGGATGGGACGATTCTATCTTCAACTCTGACACGCATCTAGACTCTGCGGTCCTCTTCAACTCTGAGCACACACCCTCCGCCCGTTGTAGACATGAGATTTAGACATGAGGGCTAGAATCGATGATCTTCCAGGGATATTCTGCAGATGACTGCGCCTTTTCTGGGGGGGGCGGAACTTCCAATGACTCACTTCACTTAGTCCATCCACTACTACCAGTTCGGGCCTGGACTCAGGCTCGTTGGGCATCGCGGCATCGTCTCCGTTTCGCCGATCCCGTCGCCCAGGGCGGTGCTGAGCACTGGAAAAGGCCCTCGACGCTTGATCTTCATCAGGCGCTCGGGGCGCAACCGACGTGTCTGCAGCGTTCGGCGCAACAGACGTGTCTGAGGGTTTTTGAGTCTTTGGGGTCCGTTGTTTCGGTGGCACCCGGCGTGAATTCGGCGAGGTGTACTGTAGGTGGTGGTTCTGCCAGCATCTAGGTGGGGTCGTTCACTTCGAGCTACCCAGGATGGGCGTGCTGGGGGCTCCCTGAATAGATAGAAACGGTTTCCAAAACATTCTTGGTGGGGATCTACTTTTCTATCTATTTGGGGGTCTATTTCCACTGTATAGGTCTATGTCTACCAGGACACCCTAAGTACTATAAGGGGTGTCTATGGATAGTCCATTAACCACCCTTTGTGCGTCCTGGTATATCTCTTCAATTTTGGTTGGTGGGAGTTGGAATGTTTTTCTTGATTGCGATTGGCACTGGGGCACATTGGGGCACTGGGCATCAGATATCACTGGGGCACTCGGCTCGGGTTGCCAGGAGTATCCCAATGGTCCTACGCAGGAGAGTTTTCTCATCCAAAACCCTTTCAGTGGGGGAATTGCTTTCCTGAAAGCCCGAGAATCTCAGCATCGACACTGCATGACAGATGACAGATGGCACGATGGTCAGTCATGGGGTTCACCTTCATCATTTGTCCACGGGATCCAGACGGTGGAGTCTAGCCGCACCCAATTCGCACCCAAGGATTTGCCTGGTTGTGCTGATCAGGTGATTTTTGTATAAATGTCCCCTAGATGGTTAAATCCCCTGGGGGAATGGAGATGTTTTTGCGGTTTCTCGGTTCCGTCCCCACGGTTCCTTAAGCAAATCCAATGGTTTTTGCCTCCAAAAAAAGACCGCTTCGACACTGCTGTCGAGGCATGGTGAGTCGGGAGCCTTGGGAGTAAGACTCTGCTGGTGGGCTGCAGATGCTCGCTCTTACCCAGATGCTCCAAACGAGTCTTGGTCCCTCAAAAGCTAGGGATTTGAGACCCCAGACCTCCAAAACATTCTGGTCCGACCACTCCATATGAGGGTCCATGAGCGTTTGGGTGAGACTTCAAGAAAAGTTGGGTGTGTAGCATAGCGCCTGCAAAGGGTGTCCTTATAAACGCGTTTGCACCGATATTTTGACCGATACACACTGAACCGCACATGGCATAACCACGCGGACGCCGTTTCCACGCTCGTTATTCAGAATAGATGGGCTTCGGCTTGAGTAGTTTAGGCAACAGCCCTTATTTTTTGACCTGACTGGCGCACAGGTGGTGGCCAAACTAATATTGTTCTTCTATGTTCTTCTATAGAGGGTCTTTGGTACGTCTTTTCTGCACAGTTTTTAAGACACACCCAGATGGGCGCTCAACAAAGTTGATCCAGAAGTTAAGAACTGGCAGGTTTGGGTTTCCTTTATTCCTGGGGCTTTGGATGGTACTTTAGGCCACTGCGGATGATCCCAATGGCCTGCATGGCTATTTCCCGCCCTTTGTTGGAAAGGTCGTCGATTCCCCTGACCGAACAGTTTCTGATTCTCTCCCAACATGTGTACCACCATTTCTTGTTGAGGTTCCCCATATCTGCCACTTTGTCAGTGGTTTTCATGCGAATTCCCCGGATTGTATACATGGAAAACGTATGAAAAAGTCACTCATGCTGCATGAATCACATCACACCATGGCGCCCTGTCCCACCCGACCACTCCCGGTGAGTTTGGAAGAAACCGCTCCCAGGTCGGAGGGAAACGCTCCTTGGTCGGAATGCGGAGAGGTTCCTTTTTCAAGTGCTCGCCTTTGGCTGTTCTTTTTCGAGTTGGACGGATAGGACTGGTTGGATGTGACTCATCACATGGGGTGAGTGGTGTTTTTGCATCATGTGTTCTTGGTGATGCTTGGTCTTGACATCCTTCACATTCCGACAAAAACGTTGGACATTTTGAGAAAGCTCCGGCTCACGCACATGGAAGTGGAAAAACCCCACTGTTCATAAAGGAACCTCAGTAGTCTTCCAAGGGAACCACTGTCCACTGCCATGTTAGTGCGTCAGAGTGTTAGAGGTTTAAAGCACTGGAGGACAACAGGAATTCACCACGCTCAAAGTGTTGGAGGCTTGCAAAAGGAGACCCTCAGCTTGATGATTGGGAGATGAATCTAAACATATCTAAACCAAAGTTGCCATACTGTTGCCTTCTCATGCCCTCCTCCCCCCCAGGCCACCAAACCTCCCAGATCCACCAGCAGCACCTCTGCCATTTGTTGTTTGTTCCCTATTCCTCTCCGCCCTTCTTTCCGTCCGGCCCATCAGATGATTTTTGTTCACCTTATTTCCCATCACGTTCGCCTCACAAGAGAGCAAGTCATAGCAAGTCCAGTTTACCAGAAGGTTCCTATGAGGTAGTCTCAAAACAGATTGCTTGTATGGACTGAATCCTTACCTCGACTTGAGACCTTGAGGAGGCCCTGATTCTGGGGAGGCAAAACAAACTTCGGCTTGCCCCAAACGAATCGTTTCGCTTCCAGTGGTTTCCACTTCAAGTCAAGTGACATGAAGTGAATATCTCCGGCACCCAGCGAACCACCCCCGCTCGACGACGTGAGGTGAATCGGAAGCTTACAGCCGCGTGTTCTGCAACAGCGCGACGTGGGATGACATGGGATGCAGGGAAGAAGGGGGCGCCAAAAAATGATACTTGGTTTGTGGATCGGGCTGTCGGTTTAGATGGTTTTCGTGAAGTAATGTTTTGGAGACTTTCTGGAATTCTATCCACAAACTGCAGGCAGCAATTTGTTCAGAACGGCTTCAGACAGCAAGCAATTGATTAACAGATTCGAAAGAAACCTGCTTTACCAGAAGGCGCTTCAACTCAGGCAAAATGAACCTCACAAGCAACACTTAGAAAAATACAATATATACATATATTTATGATCATGTCTTATATAGATCCATATGTCGTTTTCCGCTCAGTGAGCGGTGTGAGCTGGCTGCTTCGTTTAGGCCACCGTGCCGGACCACAACCTGCACCTGACCGAGAGGCCGCTGCGGGACGGGTGCAGTGGAATCAGGCGATGGATGAAGACGGACCCGTCATGTCAGTAAGCTGATGTGTTTGCGCAGGGAGTAGAGGAGTGGATTCACTTCAGGGAGTAGATGTTGATAAAGGTTGAAAAGCAAGAGGAGTGGTGAAACAAGAAGAGAGCTCTCATCAGGTACTCGGGGCCAACAGCCACCTGCCTTCCATTTGCAGCCTGTCATCATCGCCAGAATCCATTGCCCTTCCATCCGTCCATCACCTTCTCCGGGCCGCTGCGCGGGCCGTTTGTGATGCACTGCTAGGGGACGACAGCAGGCGATTGAGGCCGGAGTGAAGCTCAAGGCGTTATTGGGCGACTTGGGATGCAAAAATGATGGCGAGGCACCTCATATCCAAGGAGGTTTACGATTGTTTTGGGGTTTAGGTAGATCTTAGATCGCCACCGTTGCTGAGGAGGCAGAAATGGGAGACAGGTCACCTGATCTCACACCCGCACCCACTTCATATGGACGTTTTGTTGTCGTGAAACACTCCTCCACCTGCTTCTCAGGCGATGGCTCGTTGAGGCCCGGTGGGGAGGAGTGTTGTGAAAAGTGATCCCTTGAAAAATCGTGGTGAAAGATGGCTTCAGGAAATCTATCCGGATCAACTTAAGGTAGACTCTTGATTAATAACCCTTTGAAGAGGATGTTCAATTCAAACGGGGGGTTGTAACTAATCAAGAGTCTACGTACATTAAGGGTTCTATCCTACGTTTCAACGGACGATCCGGCATTTCGGCCAACATGGCCTTTGTCAAAGAAGAGGGGGGATGTGTTTTTACATGGGTTTCAGACGTGCGATGGCACTGATACCCAAAGACGTTTAAGATGATGATGGTCCAAAAAAACTATACCACCAAGCTTGGACATTGACATGTCTTGCCATATACGCTCAATCCAACAACATCACTCGGAACGAACGTTTGTCATTTTGGGGTGCCAGTGCCAGCTACTCTCAATATCTCTCAATCATCTATAGAGATGTCATGGTTTATTCCAAACCTTTGAATTTGTGGCATCTCCCTCACCACGGCTGAGACCGGGCTGCCTGGGCGGGGTCCCTCCGAGCATTGAAGGCTTGTGTTTGCGAGGTCACCCGAGGTCACTTGTCTCCACACATAACTTCAGTTCTCGACACATGTAGACTCACTGGAATCATGGAAGTGGAACACCACTGGTTTGTAGGGGGTAAATGGTCAGATTCCGAGAAGTGGGGAGGCGCTGTCAACGACGCCCAGCACAGGCCCATGGTGACATCCACGGTTTGCGCTGGGAGGTCTGTGGGGTGTATCTATCCCAATGGTTTGCGGGTCCATGGTTGGTCGCCCCACAGCAGAGGTGCATTTGCTCTCCCTATGTGAGGGCACGTGCCGTGGCGGTGAAGGTGGGGATGTGCCTGGTGCATCGTGGTGACGGTTGATGAATAGCCGCCTCCATCGCCAGCATGGTCAGAAGAGGTAAGAAGTCTCCCTACCCACGCGGCGTTTCTGGGATTTTACTGATATTTACCTAACTGTATATAACGGGTTAAGATTTTACACAGCGTTGATGCCCTCCAATTCGGCCGCTTCACTCCAAAGAGCAGGCTTCCCATAGACGACAGACCGGCGACAGAGCATGGAGAGCCCCCTCGAGGAAGGACGTATACCGTATCTAATCAACCCCTGAATTGCACTCATAGATTTTTTCAACACCGCATGTGGTTTCCATACAAACCTTATCAGATCTCCAAAACGGGGCAGGATGGCGTGTTTTCTGAGCCGCTTTTGACTGTTTTGAGTTGCTCAGCGGCAAGAATGTACAACAACAAGATGAGTCAGACATGAAGTTGCAAGTTGGCCAACATACCTGGAGCATCCCTGTCTGGATGTCCTGTCCTGTCGCTCTTATTCAGTGTAGGGTCGAGCCAGGACACACAGACAGGATGATCCTGGTATGGCCACTCTCCGCGATGGTTTGGCCACTCCACTGACCTGCATTTATATAGTCGACCAGTTCTGGGGCCACCCAGTTCAGCATTCGGCTGAGTTTGGAAGGTCTTCGTTCCGGTCCGCTTGTCCTTTTAAATCTAAGTGCTATACATGAGCCCAAAAGAATCAGATTTCCTCACCAACAGTCTCCCACAGATGTTCAAGAGGACTGAAGCATGAATCCTTTCAGGGGTTTCCTCAATTTTGGCTCCAATCATCATCACTTGATTCACTTGACTATCCCGAACTTGAAAACTGCGCACAGTTACCCAGACACGACCCATGGGACTGCTATACATGCCGATCAGTTGGGGTGGTTTTGGGGGTCAATTGATCGGCATATATGACAGTCCCATGGAGTGTCTGGGTTATTGAGCGAAGCCATCCGGTTCAGTGATTCACGGGATGTGGCTTGGCTGCTAAGGTGAAACCTTGAATGGTGTCCTCCGCGCTTGGGGCTCTCAACCCTGGCCATGTCAAGAAGATGTCACCTGGCCTGAGACTTCGATTTTCGTGTTCCAGGTTGCCACCCTGTAACAGTGTACGCGTGGTGTGCCCTGGAGCGGGGGTTGGGCTATATATAAAAGGTCATCAAAAGAGCCGCCTTGAAACATCTTGGAATTGTTCGGTTTGTGTTCTGTTTCCGACTGTGGCAACCTCCCAGACGGAGGAGAATCATAGGATGTTGATGGATGTTGATGTGTTAATGTAGTCCCTTGATTTATAACCCCCCCCCTCAACAACCAAGGCCTCCAAAATAATATATAAGAAAAAACAAACATTATTCTGGGGGGGTTATAAATCTGAGTGCAACATTATGTTTTTTTCGCCGGGAGGTATGCAGTGGATTCCTTCGCCACCTGCAGGTGCGCTTGCGGGAGCAAGAGTTCGGGCCACTTGGCGGCACGCAGGATCATCCTGTTTGGGTGTCCTGGCCAGACTGCCCTACCCTACGTTTTTTATAAACAGGTCTCCAGACGGGGCACCCATTGGCAGCGCTAGGAATGACACATGGGAACACGGTGGTCGCAATTCACCACTAGGATGCCAAGGATGTAAACATGATCAATCATGGGAGGCTCAACAGGCTCAAATCGGGTCTGGTTGCAGTTAGGGAGTGGAGTTTGATCCTCCGACTCACAAACGATTGATGTTTGACTGTTATACACCCCCTGCATTTCTTTGCAAAGGAGCATCACCTTCCACAAACCTGGCCTTTACTTTCATGTCGGTATGGCATGATGTATGGCCCTCCTGGTGTCAGCCAGACCAACACTTCAGGAACTATGACGCGCCTGACATCAAGGAGATGATGTGATGCGCCCCTTTGTTGTGCTTTCTTCTCAACACGCACAAGACAATGAGGGTTTGAGAATTGGTGCTGCAAGAGATTGTCCTCATGTGGCATGGTTTTGTGCTTTGTTCATGGTTTGTGTTTTGAACCATGATTTAAAATTTGTATATTGGTTTGTAGTTCTGGGGGCTTTGGTGCACCAAAACAGCCCCATGCACACAAAGGCTTGAACATCATCTATAGCAAACTCTCCATTTTCACGCATGTCCCAAAAGCATCCCCGCGCAAGCGGATCTTCCCCCATCGCTCTCGTCTCCACTCACCGGGACTCCTTGGCCTGGTCTCCAGTGCAGTGCAGGAGAAGCACAAAGAAAAGGCCCGCTTCGGCGCCTTTTACTACCGCTTCACGGAGCGCCGTCTTTCGTCGGCCCCGTTTCCGCGCCGAGGTTTCCGCGCGATGAACTGCACGTTTTGTGCTTTAAACGGTGGAACCCCCAACCAATGGGTTTTGCTTGGTTGCCATACGGTTCATCACTGGCATCCCGAAGCTTTTGCACACTGAAAGTTGCAAAACATGGCAAAGCCATTCTGTCTTGATTTATAATATATAATATATATATTTAATAAATACTTGCCATCTTCCTCCCAACCTAGTTCTATAGTACACGTAGGTTGCTCCACGTGTCAGCAACCAGAACTCTGAGTTTAGGGGGAAACTTTTGGAGCTTTTTCCCCCGTCGCGCATGGCGGTCCCAAAGCGCCGAGCGGAGGACGGCGAGAGCTTGGCCGATTGCTATGACCGCGCTTGGAGCTTTCTGGAATCCTTGCGGCGCTCCTTTCAGGCGCCGCGCGGAGCGCGAACATGATTTTATCATAAGTTTCTCCACTCTCACGCTGGGTTTGGGAGTGGTTTCAGAAAGAACGTGTTTTTTTTTCCATGGCGTTCGTGTGTGTCTGTGTCTTCCCGACGACTATAATTTTCCTCCCAGGAACCATGGTACTTAGCAAACAACAAGTAGGTTTGACACAGATCCGTTTGGGTATGCCAAGTTGCTATGTACCAGAACCCGGGTCAGGGGTGTCCATGAGGTTGCTCCGTAAGAGGTCATTCTGGGTGTCCACTAGCCCCAAACCGGGGAGCCTATTGGGTACTGTGTGATGTACTTTCCTCTCAGATGATGTGAAGTTTTGAACCCTAGGCTTCCGTTCGACCACTTAAGACATGGGAACGACATGGTGTCGTCCTTCTCAGACTCCTTTAGTAGAAACATTCCGGGCTATTGAAACCAAATGGTGGGCGACCGGAAGCCTAACGGGAAATACACCGACTCGGAGCCATCCTTCATCCAACAGAGTCATCCTCGATATCCTTTGACTCCTTCAGGCAGAGACCGCAGCAACTTGGACAGACTGAGAGGGCGAAAAGACGCCATGTCGACGTGGGGTGTGAGCCATGGACATGTCGATGTTTGATCCGGCAGCGTTGGTGTAAGCAGTATGACGCGAGCTATGACGCGCCTAAGGTGCTATTCAATTGTTTGTTCATACGTTTTTCACCCAGAAGACAAGTTTATTGACATGTTTTGAACATTCGCAGTGGGAAGGTGCCCGCTGGGATTCAAAGACTAGGCAAAAACAGTGTTTAGGGAACCTGGAAGGGGAACTTCTTTTGCTTCGAGCTTCATTACTAAGGCGAAATGTAGTAGCCTTGAGTCTCCAAAGACCTGTTTTTTAATGCATTTTTGTTTTTGGTCCGATAGTTTTTCGCTTTTGCTCGAAAAACGCGTTTTCAGAGAGGACTCAAAAAATAATACAGAATGAATCTTCATCCGGACGCGTCCGGTGCGGACGCTTAAAGACGCCTTTTGGACGCAAAAAGACGCGTTTTGGACGCCGAAAAAAGGTCTCAGGACACTGTCTACTTAAGGAGGATCTGACAGGGCACAAAAAAAAGGAACATTTCGTGACATATGCCTAATAAAGTGCTTTCTTTCTTGGAAAGGCAAATTTAAAAGGGTCATTGGCTTGGCCCGGGGGATGTGAACCATTCCAGGCGATTCCAGCGATCTGCGACGGTGCCTGCCATGTCGACCGCTGCGAGCCCCATTCTCGCTATTTGGGGATCCCTACGGCTAGAGTTTTCAGACAGGATCTCATCATTCCCGCCAAAAGGTTTGGTCACCTGGCAGAGAACCTGGAAGGTTCTGCACATGTTTGGTCTGACTCATCTGCGTCGCAGATGGTTTCCGGTGTTCTTTCGCCGAAGGGTCGAGCGGAATTGGTCCGGATCCAAGGAGAACCTGTTGGTGGTTGGCCATGGGAACATGCTGGTGGCCAGGCGCCCAAGGAACACCGGCGAGACCGCGCGGAGAGACCGCACGGAGACCCGTGCGCGGGAGGTTTGCAGGGCGTTCCTTCTTCCTTTGGAAGAAGGGAAAGGACTCAGCCGACCCCTGGAGCCAGGTGTCTCCTTCATTCTCCTCCATTCAAATCACTAGGAGACCCACTCCCAGGTGTGGTTACGACGTCATAGACTTCCTTTCTTGACCCACTCCTCAGCCCAGAACGAGGTGTGTATTTTTGATATTATAGTGGATTGAGAATAGATAGCACAGACCCCAAGAGGTGGTTTATATGGACCCCCATCTAAAGGACATCGTGGGGTTTGTGTCATTTACTCTGAAACCACTGTACTTTTTCCGGATGGAATTTGTATGACGATGTTCGTGTCGGAACAGCGACCGGCGAGTTTTTGTCTCTTGCGGATGTTCTCTCATTCTTAGAGAGGCCTGCACAATCCATATCATCGGAAGGAAACTAATACATTAATATCAATCAATCTATGACACTCTATGACCATCGATGACTAAAAGAACCCCTACAAAGCCCCCAGTGATTGGATCTGTAAACATGCGAATCACAGTCCATCATCATCATCATCATCATCATCATCATCATCATCATCATCATCATCATCATCATCATCATTCCGGAGCGCCCCCAAACTTCGCCATTGGACCATTCGGACCATCCAACCTTATTAAGCCGGGCGCCAGCTGATCACCTGGTGGTGGGCGCCAGCTGATCAGGTGATTTTTCGATTTTCCCGGTTCCCGGTGAAATCCCAAATGAACTCCCCTCACCTGGGGGATGTGTTTCATGTTTTCCAGGTTTCTGGTTCGCACATCCAAGCCCATTGAAAAGGAGCATGTTTTTGTCAAACTTGCAAGGTCTTGCTAATGTGCCTCTTCCAGATCAAGGTCAGCGAGTTCGTAGCCCGTCTCAAACTGGAGAAGACGGCGCAAAGGGTGGTGATGGGGGAGGGAAGATTAACAACACATGACATAGGTGACAGTTGCCTGTAACAGTTGCCTGTATAGGGAAGATTATACCCTAATTATATGCTGGTGACAGTTGCCTGCAAAAGTGATCAATACACGACTTGGTCGAAATAGTTTGAACATGTTGTACATGTAGAACTCAAACCCATTGATTGTTTTGGGCTGACAGGACCTGTGCGGGTGGTTGGCGACTGGCTGCGAACAAAGAAGCCCTGAACAATGGTGTTCATCTTAAATTTGCGACACAGGCCTGAGGATTGATATACAGTATATATACGTACAAGTACTTGATATGTTTTTTGGCAATGTTTGTGGGAGGATATGGGAGATAGGAGATTGAAGCATCAGGGCATTAGGTTAAAAGTTAACAATCTGGTTTCTTAATTGATAATGTTTAGTCCAAGCTGAGTTTCCGGAGCTGGTCCGACCCGCCGCCTCTGGCGGAGGCTTCAATCCGGCCCCTGGAAAATGGTGAGCTTCTTGTTTGCAGCGCCGAAGCTGGGCAGCGCCAGACGAACGACGCGGCAGAAAGAAGCTGCACGAAAGCTGGACTCGAGCTCAGGAAGAGCTCGGCGTCTGATCTATCCGATGTGTAGCCATGAGAGAGGTTCACTCCTATTTCGGAAAGACCTTTGCTAACCCCTAGGGCTCCAACCACCTGACCACGTGGTTGGGGTGGGTGCCAGGGGGGTCTAACCACTGAACCTGAGGATATGGTTGGTCCTCCACTGTGACAGGGAACTCATGTGGTCGTGTTTGTGAGGCCGCCGGAAGCCGGAAGCGGTTCAGCAGGTGTTGATCAAACGTTGCGGGAGAACACCTGTAAACCTGTGCCGTTGCAGTGCTTTTCTTCGGAAATAGCTTCGGAGCACCAGAAACTCAGCAGCTGAAGACTTTTGATGTGTATAGATGTGGATAAGATCAATAGATATCAGGCGTATCCAGATCTTGGTGCATTCAGCTCATTCAAAAGGACGGCTCCTTTTTTCAAGATAGCGAAGTCTTATGACCAAAAATGGTTTCCCTCAAGTACTCCTAGTGACACGCAGGGCTTTTGCACATGAACCAGCTCAACAAGAACAAAAGTGAAGCCAAGGCAACCACACACACAAAGCGCAACTTTGCTTGTGTTAGCTTTGGTGTTTTTCTTTTTAGGGTTTTGAGAGTGGTTTTGAGTGGGGTTGAGGCTGAAAAGCACCTCTCCCAACCTAAGCCACTGCAAGCAAGCTGAGGTTTGCTGTTTGTGAGCGAGCGGAGGACGAGCGTTTCTAATTGGGATGCTCAGGATGTGCGTATGGCCTGCAGTTCTCCCAGCCATGGCCAAGCCGGAGTTCCGAAGTGCCATAAGTGCGTGATGGAGACAACTACAACCCTGACGAACGCATCATATGGAAGTGGAAGGCACCCCTTGGAAGACGCCTCTACACTGCAGCGGGGGGTTCCACTTCCATGTGATGTGTTCGTTGTTTCGTGTACCACTTCGCCTAAGACAAGAGTGCAGCGATCGTTCGGAGTCCAGTTCGAAAAGATTCGCAAGTGTTTCAAAACAAGTTCCCTCTCCAGAACTCAATGCTGTTGGACTCTCCTTGGTTCAATGGGCCATGCCAATTGATTGCTTGCAAGATGAAGGGACGCCAAGCTGTGAATACCTTTGAAGCCGATTTGTATGACAGTAACTAGGTGACCGTTAACAATGTTTGTCCAAAGGTGCGCACTATTGCAGTATAGGCCAACTGTATAGGTAAACAGAGAACCACCCGGGGCGGTTCCCTGCCGAGTGTGCTCGGTCGTGCCGAATGCTTTGTCGCTTGGCTCAAGCCGTGCCGAAAACCCCGGACTGGACTGCTGTTTTGATAGGCCCTACCAGGAGACCCGTTCAGGGGTGCCAATGATATGGGGATGCCTTCTAACCACCCCTTAGGGTCCAAAACAATGCCGGGGGTCTCCTGGCATGCATCAGCAGGCAGGTCAATTTGGAGAAGCGACGCTTCGAAGCAACGAGCCAAGCACGTGGCCAGCACGTGGCCCTACACAGATGGATTTGCGCCTACACAGATCTCTTTGAGATATTTTGAGATGCATATGTTCCAACCTTTTGACTTTACAATGTTCTTTTGTTGTTTCTCATCTTCAACAGCCACGGCTCAAAAGACCTCCCACGGCTCAAAACAGCTCCCACAGAGCGAGCCCGCATGTTCATTGTTCGATCACCCCGGTCGTTGCTGCCCGAAAGATGTCGTTGGCCCTCGCCCGAGATCAAGGGGTGAGATGGGTGCTGTTTGGCTGGAGCATTTTCACTGCAGAGAATCTGGTGATGCAACCCGTTGGCAGCGAACGGTCGAACGGTGCTGTTTGGCGGCTTTGAAGGGTGTTTGGTGCCCTTTTCCCAGGCAGTCCATGTAGAATTTCCTGTCTTCTTTTTGTCTTCATTCTCATTCCTTCATTCATTTTAATTCTTTTCATTATCTATCCATGTCCTTCTTTTGTATTCTTTCTTGCTCTTATCTTCCTTGATTTTCTTAGTCTATTATTTATTACTCTCATCATTATTCTTCTCATCTTCTCTTGTTATCCCTTTCTTCTACTCATTCTATAATTTATTCTCTTCATATCTCTTATTTTCTTCTTCTTTTTACATCCTCTCTTCCTCTTCTTTCTTTCTCTTTTCTTCTTCTATTTTTTTAATTATCTAATTATTCTCACATCTTTCTTTGTTCTCATTTTCTTCTTTCATGTAGAATCATTTACCTACATTGACCCTTAAGATCCCCCATCATTGCCCCAATGTCGTAGGCAAAATACATGATGGTTGGGGGATTTGTTCATCCTCATTTGATGGTCTTGCAGGCCCAACACCTCCAAGAAACACCAGCTTCATTGGACTCGTTAGACATGTTTTGAGGAGTTACAGTGGCGCAGTGGAAGGTTTTACCCTCTGATCACCCACATGATCTAACATGGAAGTGGAAAAAATTGCGTTGTGGGAAGACGATGTTCCTCTACCAACTGGGGGGAGAGTTCACTTCCATGTTAGTGAGTGTGTCAAGATGAGGAACCATTTGCGGTCTTCACCTCGAATTCTGCCATTGTTCTAAACATCTAGACCGCCTGGCTTCTTCAGATGCCTCAAGAGACTTGTTGATCTTCGGTCCCTACACCACACCATCCTTGATGGGCTGTGAGCCCAAAACCTGGAGCCCCTGACGCCCCCCTGCGTCGACTGAGTCCAGGTGGGTTCACCACCAGATGTTAAAAAAAACAAGGAAACATATAATGAGCGGTCCCATTTTGGCAAACCATGGCTGATTCATTGTAAAACGATAAAGAGTAAAAACACAAAGAGATAACAAACATATAATACAATACCAGCAATACATTACATTAGAGATTTGTGTTTCATGTCAAGGTTTCATGTCAAGTGTTTCATGAACGGTGTACCTCCTTATGGTTTGGAGGGTCCAGTCATACCGAACCTGAGCAGGTACCACTGGAGCCCTAGTAGGTAGTAGGGGTTCTGACCCATTCGGAGAGGGAGATCCAACGGCACCCGAGGTCAGAGTACAAGACGGAGATCAAACACTACTGGGGTGGACGGGGTGGACCGACGGCCTATCAGACGATGTACAGCCCCTCGGAGTGGATTGAACGGAAAAGGTTCGACGAAAAGGAGATCGTGTTGGACGTGATTCAGAACTCAATCAGGAAAGAACTGTCCTCTTCAGAACTCAATCAGTTCTTCAGTTCGCCCTACCCGTTATTCAGAACTGTCATGTCGTGTATCCACTCTGCTGCACGTCTGGGCGGACCCTCCGGGGTCGACGGAAGCAAGCGTTCGACCCGCGATGTGCGGGCGAACTGCGGAGTCCGAACGGCACAGACCTGCGGCATGTTGCGGCTCTTGACCCACCGAACATGGAGACTATACATATATATATATATATTGTGTACCGAACGGGTGGTGGTGAACTCCACTTCACCATCACCAACTGTACCATATCATAGCCGGGAAGTATGTGGATCACCTGCAAAGCCAATGCAAACCAATTGCAAAACCCTTTTGGGTGATAGATGTTGATTCAGTTCTCCGCACTAAACGCGGGAAAGTGGGCGAATCGTTCTTTTCCAGTTGAAGCGGCCCCAAGGTGGGATGATGTCATTGAATTTCTATCTTAGCCCTACCCTCTTGAAGTCACTTGAGGTTATGCACCGTGAAGTCACCAAGTAGCATAAAGTACCATTGCTCCTGGAGATGCTTCAGCTTCACCTCAAGAAAAGGCCCCCCTGAAAGCGAAGCGTAGCGAAGCAGCGGCCAAGGTACCTTGTCAGGCTTGGCATCTCTCTCCATCTTTGCGGCGCGGCTTGGCAAATGAGGACCAGGAGGACACTGAAAAAAAGCACACGCACACACCTCTCTAGCAAGGGATGTTCTCCCACTCCCCGGTAAAATTGCCATGTTGGTCCCAAACCTTTTGGCGGAAGCTGCTAAAAACCGAGCTTGTGCTCAAGCTCAAGCCCATCACAATCGACAGAACCTTCTTAATTAGTGTTGCTTCTTGGTTTGGTGCTTTTCAATGTATTTCCCCACTTCAAGCGACCACTCAGAATTTGAAGTGGTTCTGGGTGTTTCCATTGCCACCACCGAGTTGTTAGATTTGGTTCTGGGCCAACAACTCAGCTAGGTATCTCTAGGTGGTTCCGAGTGGTTCCGGAACATTTCCTAGTGGATCCCAGTTAAACACTATAAGGATCCAGGGATTCTAGGTCTAGGGTTTTAGTCTTTGGAACCACTGGTATACCAGCTATAGTGGTAACTGGATGCCCTGGGTTTCAGAACCCCTCTTGAAACGTCCCACAGAACCCAGACATGCCGAGTGGGACTGTCATATTTACCGAGAAAAGGCCAGGGGTGGTCTGAGGGGATTTCATGTCGGTCAAGATTCCAGTCCCATGGATACGACCTGGGGTCTTTTGGAGGGCCGTGTTACTAGTAGCGATGGCCTCCAACCTAATTGCAATGGCCTCCCACCTAATAGCGATGGCCTCCACCTAGTAGCTTCTAGCTACTAGTAGGGCTTGCATTTGACATGTCGAGAGATGCGAGGTACTGGCGCTTTGCTCGCTTCGGTCTCCAACTGCCTCCCCCCAGCGGGTCGCGACGCCTTGTGGGCTTGGTGGGGCGTGTGCTCGGCCTGGGCGCCTTAGGCGGGGCATGCCGGGGCGGACAGAAACGACGAGGTTGAAATTGGGAATTTCATGGAATTTCACGGGTTAGGTTAGACGACATGTTTTGCGAGCTGCTTAAATGAATGTATATAGATTATAGTACGTGATAGGTTTCAGTGGGATGTTTTCGTTTATGTTGATGGTTGAGGCTTCAAACGGGTGGACATTTGCTGGGTCGAGAGGATGGATATGATATGAGGTTGCCCACGATGGTGATCGTGCATTTTGTAGATGGCTTCTTGCTGGAACAGCATCGCAAAACTGGATCGTCGATGTTCTACTAACCAACCAAAGGACTAGAATCTCAAAAAGGGACGTAGTAATACTATTATATAATATCTATTGTCTATCTATCTACTGCATCTACCTACCCATCAATCCCATTATAAATCCAGCGGGTCGCGAGCTACCCACCTACCTACCCACCTCGATGGTGGACGACTCATCTACCTATCACCCTGCAGGTAGGTCGGACATCCATCGCCGTCCGGTCGACGGTCGAGCGGCCAGGTCAGCTGCTACCGCCGATCAATGTCACTGCCTTGGAGATCGCTTTAGGTTTACGTCCCCAGCCGCCACAGCACTTGCCCCCGCAAGTGCGTGGAGCCACCTGCCTTGGGGCCGGACGATGCGTAAAGGAGGCGTTGGATGTGTGGGAAGATGTGTGGTTCTTAGATGGAAAGAAGGACGGTGCGACGGGTTTCCTTCTGTGATGGTTTGCTGGTGACATTGGGTGACTAAGTTGAAGCAGCAAGCATTGTTGGCTGTTTGACGAGGTACTGTAGCTGTAATGACGTTTCTTGGGGCATGGCAAATTGGCCGGAAGGAAATGGACAATGGACGTATGCTTGGCCTGACACATGTCAAACGGTTTCTTGGAGTCTGCTTGCTTCTCACTATCAACCCTGCCCCAAACCAACATGGGAATGGGCTTGGAGGATGTTCGCCTTGTTTCTTGGTAGTTGCTGGCGTGGCATGGGCAGACACCTTGGTCGCCATCTCTGACTTCGTTTGACTCAGGCTTTCCCAGTGAA